AGAGATTATGGTGGCTTTAACCAAAGTGATAGTCTAGATTTGTGTTGTCTGATATAGTAGCCACTGGTCACATGTGGCTATTTAACTTTAATTAAAATTCAAAATTTAGTTCTCTGGTCACACTAGCCGTATTTCAAACACTTAATAGTCTATGTTGGCTGGGCACGGTGGCTCATGCCTGTAATCCTAGCATTCTGGGAGGCCGAGGTGGGAGGATCCTTTGAGCTCAGGAGTTCAAGACCAGCCTGAGCAAGAGCAAGACCCTGTCTCTACTAAAAATAAAAAGAAATTGACTGGACAACTAAAAATATATAGAAAAAATTAGCCGGGCATGGTGGCGCATACCTGTAGTCCCAGCTGCTCGGGAGGCTGAGGCAGAAGGATCGCTTGAGCCCATGATTTCATGCCTTACGTTTAAGTCTTTTATCTATCTTGAATTAATTTTTGTATATGGTTAGAGATAGGGGTCTTGTTTCATTCTTCTGCATGTGGCTATCCAGTTTTCCCAGCACCACTTATTGAATAGGGTTTCCTTTCCCCAGTGTATGTTGTTGTCTGCTTTGTTGAAGATCAGCTGGTTGTTGGTAGATGGTTTTATATCTGAGTTCTCTATTCTGTTCCATTGGTCTGTGTCTCTACTTTTATGCCAGTACCATGCTGTTGTGGTTGCTATAGCCTTGTGCTATAATTTGAAGTCTAATAATGTGATACCTCCAGATTTGTACTTTTTGCTTAAGATTACTTTTGCTATTTGGGCTCTTTTTTGGTTCCAAATGAAGTGTAGAATTATTTTTTTTAAATCTGTAAAATATGACGTTTTTATTTTAGTGGGGCTTACATTGAATCTATAAATCACTTGGGGCAGGATGGACATTTTAACAGTATTGATTTTAACTGTGCATGAGCGTGAGGTTTTTCCATTTGTGTCATTTGTGATTTCTTTCATCAGTGTTTCATAGTTTTCCTTGTAGAGATATTTCTCCTCTTTGGTTAAGTATATTGTGAAGAATTTTATTTTCTTTGTAACTATTGTGAATGGTATTGAGTCTTTGATTTGCCTCTCAGCTTGACTGTTATATTAGTAAATAACATTTTAAAATTTCAATAGATTTGACCACCAAAAAGATGTACTCATGAATGTTGATTTTTTTTGGCTAACTTCAGAAAGATTTCTATTTTTCTTTAGTTTCCTATTATAGATATTGCCTAAAAATTTATATAACTTGGCCAAGTGGGGAATACTTAGGGTTTTGTGGATAAGTACATTTTTTTGGCTGTATTAGAGATGCTATTTCTGAAAAATTTCTGAAGCACATTAATTGACTTTTCTGCTGTCTTAAGAAGATAATACTGGCATGTATGAGTGATTCATGATTGAATTTCTTATGATACTTCAATACTATTATTATTTTAGAGGGCCCAAGAGATTTGACTTAACTCTTGTGAGGCTTGGAGCATGATACTGGAATTTGCCCTTTTCACAAAATCCCTAATGTGAAACTGTTTTCTTAGACTTCTCTCTTCTAAAAGTTGTTTCCCTTTGTCCTCATCCCATCCTAGTTAACTGAAATTTTGTTGGTTATAATTTTGCTATAATTTTTTAGTCTCCTATTACTCTGGTTTTGGCTCCAGGCTGCTTACATTATTTGTAAGTGCTAATTCATACATTTATTTAAATACTTACTTGGTATAGGCACTTTGCTAGGTACATACACATGAATCAAATTATAATAATAAAACATATAGTTACAAACTGAGGTACATGCTCCGAAGCTAAGGGAAATGCATCTGTGAGCATAAAAAGGCACCTGACCTGGATTTAGGAAGTGACCTTTAAGCTGAGATCTAAAGGATGATTAGTAACTAGTTGAAGGGTGGAGTACAGATCATAGTATAGGATTGAGGTACAGCTTATGCAAAGGAGCTGCAGCGGAAGGAAGTGCAGCATGACTAGACTAAAAACAGTAGGGTGATCAGTGTTAGGAATCAAAGATGAGACAAAATAACAGAGATGGCAGGAGCCTGAATTATTTATTAAGAGCAATGGGAAAACCCCGAAGATTTTAAATTAGGAGGCTACTGGAGATCAGATTTGTGTCTGAAGAGAATCCTTATTTAATGTCTGTTTTTGTAGCTGTAAGCTCCAAAAGTAGAGGGAATAGCTGTTGATCTTACCACATGCGATACAAGTAGGTACTCAATAAATATTAAGTGCCACCATTCAGTAGCTCAGTGTCTGGCGCACAGTAAATTCTCAGTAATGCTATGGCTTTCATTGATCTAGACTGGCTTTTGGTGTGGGACGGTGGCTGCTGTGGGGTAAGAGGCATCACGGAGTAATGCATCCCAACAACATCTGTTGAAGACCTGTGATGTGCTCAGAAGAATCAGCAGCTAAAATTATATATTAGAATTTCATCACTTTTCCCTTGGGCCCCCTGTAGGATGTATGGAGCACAAAAGTGATAGAGAATTGTTAGTAAATCAGATCAGCCCAAAATGAGGTGATATAGTAGATGCTCTTCCCTATACTATCCACTTTATATAATCACTTTTGTGCCTGGTAAGATAGCTTTTATAAAGCAATCTCCTCTAGAGTTCTCAGGTAAAATTACCTTTCCAGAGTTCATTTGAAATACTCTCAACTTTATTCTTAAGTTCATTTGTTTTATATAAAGTGAGATAACTTGCCATGTTTCTTCCCAAAGACGAAAGATTGTTATTAAAACATTTCTTTTGAAAATTTATAATCATTTCAATACTGTAGCTTTGATATTTTACTTTTTTCAAGCATTGAATTTATATATGGTGTGCCCAATCTTAAAATGTATAGTATATAGTGTTATATCACCAACTTCCTGGCCAATTTTCCTTCTTCTTTATTGGGGAATAGTAATCAGACCCACCAACTCACACATACTTGCTTTTGTGCACATTAATAAAGGTGCCCTGTCTGGGTGGACAAATTACCAAAAGATTCCTCTGCTTTTGACATATCCTGTGTCATTGTGCACTGCTTGAAGGGTGGCATCAGCCCCTACTTGTGCCTTCTGCTGTGTGTCTTTAAGCCATGCAAAAACTACTCAGCTATACTTAGTGGTCATGAGTGGTAACTCAGTGTAAATTAGATATTGCTCATAATCAACTAGACTATAGATAATCCTTTATAAACAAAGTGACCTACTTTAAAAAGTAGAACAATTGTTCACTTAATGTAATTGTTAAATGCAACCTTCAGTTAAAACATTAATATTATATTTAACTCATTTTCAAAGTTTCTAAAACTTGGTTTCGTAAAATGTGGGTAAGTTGTTACAGTTTTTGGGGAAAAACTTTGTTAAATAAGTCTAAAGCTTTTTTTTTTTTAAATCATTATTTATTTATTTATTGTTGAGACAAAGTCTCACTCTGTTGCCTAGGCTAGAGTGCCATGGTGTCAGCCTAGCTCACAGCAACCTCAAACTCCTGAGCTCAAGTGATCCTTGTGCCTCAGCCTCCTGAGTAGCTGGGACTCCAGGCATGCGCCACCATGCCCGGCTAAATTTATTTATTTATTGTTGAGACAAAGTCTCACTCTGTTGCCCAGGCTAGAGTGCAGTGGTATCATCATAGCTCACTGCAGCCTTCAACTCCAGGGCTCAAGAGATCCTCCTGCCTCAGCCTCCCAAGTAGCTGGGACTATAGGCATGTGCCTCCACATCTGGCTAATTTCTGTTTTTTGTAGAGATGGGGTCTCACTCTTATTCAGGCTGGTCTCCAGCTCCAGAACTCAAGCGATCGTCCTGCCTCGGCCTCCCAGAGTGCTATGATTATCGGAATGAGCCGCTTGCACCTGGCCTTAAGGGTTTTTTTTTAGTACTTCATCTTTTGCACATGGATAGCCAGTTATCCCAGCACCATTTGTTTAAGACCATTCTTTCCAGGCCCAGCGCGGTGGCTCACGCCTTTAATCCTAG